CGGTTGGCACAGCGCAGGGCTGGCGTGGCATGTGGTACTGGGGATTTAATCCAGGTTTCTGCTCTTGCCAGGCAGATGCTTAGATTGCTGAGCTGTCTCCCCAGCTCTGAACTGGATTTTTCTTTCAAAAAAGAATGGCTTAATTTGGGGGAGCTAATAAAAATGGCACATGAAGGACCACCAGCACACTTATTTTCACCACTACTAATATAATTTATTTAAAACTGGAATGTTGGAATGGGAGCAATACTATTGGATAATATAACTAGGAAAATGAGAGTCAAATGTATGAACGTAAGAGCTAAGAGAACAATAAATCAAACGGGAGTCAAAGAAAAAAAAAATATATATATATATATAATAGGGATGGGACAAATCAAAAAATGTCAGTAGAAACACAAAGTAAAAATTACTCCCCTAAACTGGGCACAGTGGCTCATGCCTATAACGTCAGCAGTACAGGAGAATGAAGCAGGAGGATCCCAAGTTCAAGTCCAATCATAGCTCAAACTTTTGAACTTAGGAACTTAGTGAGAAAGTGAGGCTGTGTCACAAAAGAAAAAGCATAACAATAAAAGCAGAAAGCTGGGTGTTGCTTCATGAAAATGTCCTGGGTTCGATCCTAAATGCAAAACAGTAGAATTAAGTGAATCAGTGCATGCTATGATTTGTGTCCAGATGTCCCCCAAAGACTTGTGCAGTCTTGGGGCTTTTTTGGACATGGCTAAATCTAGATTACATGGTCGATCCATAGTTCAGTGCTGGAATTAAGGGTGGGTGATTGCTGGATTAGTCCACTGACTGGATGGCACTGCCCTAATCCCAGTGTAAGGGGCAGAAAGTACAATCCAAGGGGCAGAAAGAGGTGTGTCTCCCACCCCTTGCTTGCTTTTGCTGTCTTCCTTTGCCACGAACAGTTGCCCTCTGCCATGTGCTCCCTGCCTTGGAACCAGCCAGCGATGACTGAAACCTTCACAAATTGTGAGCTAAATAAACCTCGCCCCTTTAATTTTGGGTGTAGGGCATTTTGTCTCAAGAACAAGAGAAAAGTAACT